GGTAAGTCAAAAAGGCTGGAAAATATTTTCGGGAGGTGCTTGTCGAATGGGAAGACTTGCCGAGTGAGGAAGCGACATGGCAAAGTTGGGACGAGATGCGCGAGATGTTCCTCGATTTCTTCCTTGAGGACAAGGAATCACTTGAAGGGGACGGGAATGATGCGGACATGGCGAGAAGACTCAAGAATGCAGCAAGTCGCGCGTGGCATGCGCGAAGGAGGTTAAGTCGCCGTGCCAGCGAGGTGCGATATGCGGACGACGCGCGCGACCCTGTCGGGGACGGATGCGGGTTTGAACGCGCAGGCGACTAGGTGCACGCGCATACTTACCTAGGCGCACGAGGATTAGGCAATGCGGACGCGGGCAAGATGGTTTGGGGCGCAAACAAGAAATAAATTAAATAGCTTAATTAATATTTTATTTCCTTGTTTTCTAGTTTGTTTAGGATACTTAATATTTTATTGCTTTATGAGAGTTATGGTTATATTAGGACTAGATCTAGTTGATGCCTATATAAAGGCCCTTCCTCTTGTTAATTTAATCATTCAGAAATCAATACAAAAATCCGAACTTTTGTTCAAACTCTTTGCTCTAGTTTTCTTCTTGAATTCTTTTGCAATTATAACTGTTAGAAAGGCTGCGAGTGTGCGACTTCCTAACACCTATCGACCGATTTAAGGTGCGGGAGCAGCTTGTCGGCAATCGAGACACACGGTCTTCATCAGCTGGGCGCTGCGTTGGGGCGCTGGGGCGCTGGGCGCTGTGCTACGCGCTGGGGCGCTGTGATGAAGGATCGGAAGTTCGTGTCCTCGACTTGTCTCGATCACGGCTTCGCCACGGCCTTGCTCTCGACGATAGGTGTGATCGACTCGGTTATTAGCCTAACTCTCTCACGATACTTGAGTTCACTTGGTTATTAGCCTCGTTTCACTCGCGAAACAGATCGGGTCTTAGCCTCTGAACTGGTTCGGGTCTTAGCCTCACCAATTCGATTTGTATGATCGAATCTCACGACTCTCAACACA